CTTTGTGTTATATTTTTATGGTAGTATAAATGGTTACGATTTCAGAAATGTTACATGTATTTAGTGTCAACTGCATATTTGAAGCACAGATAAAAATAAGTAAATGCTGATGAACAAATTACTATGTAGAAGTTGAATAGTTTTTCGACATGAAAGTTGGTATCTATAGGGATCAATGAATAAGTGCTAATAGTTGCAATTTTCTATAACTAGCACGTAATTAAGTGGCATAATAGTCAACTAACTGAATACTCATACTGGATTATATTCAAAGGCATACAGAAGACACACAAGGACCTTTTTAAGCTTAATCTTGGATAGGACTAGTTACTGGAAATATGGGTGGCTTCCAATTCTGGTCACCATAAGAAACAGTTAGATAGATTTCTACAGGAAAGCCCAATCTTCTCTCATACAGTAGTGCTATATAATTTCTTTGTATTGGCAAATAGGAAGGGGAGAGGGAAGGAGAAACACCTTTCTGTATGATGTATCAACGCTGGCACTTCTATTTTGGATATTATTTTAATGCCATGTTTAATGTGTAGCTTGTTGCTAATCTTTTCAACAGCAACACACATACTTTTCATTGTATTAATGGGACTTTTTATTTTTGGAAGATTTTCAGCTGATAGCTTTGTTGCACACATTGCCAAGTAGCTGACATCACCTGTGTCCAGGGTTTTTTGAGAGAACGTAAAGTTCTTCTGTCTTATGACATCAAAATTCTCACTTTATTGTTCTCTGCATCAGCTAATCTCCATATCTTTTTGGTTCTGTATGCTGAAATCTTCATAACTACCCCAGAGCTGAAGAAGCTTCCACTTTCCTCAGTCACTTCTGTTCCTGCATCTGTGGTTACATTAAAATAGGACCAATGCACAATGCATTTGTTGCCAAAATATCAAAATGAGAAACTGCCCTGAAAGCCAGCCTTATCCTGGGCTGCATCAAAAAGAAGCATGGCCAGCAGGTAGAGGGAGGGGATTTTGCCCATGTGGAGGATGCTGGGGACCTGAGCACAGGAAAGATATGACCTGTCGGAGTAAGTCTAGAAGAGGGCCGTGAAGTTGATAAGAGGACTGGAGTACCTTCTCCTACAAAGACAGGCTGTGAAAGTTGAGGCTGTTCAGCCTGGCTAAGAGAAGCTAGCATGGAGACCTCACAGCAGCCTTCCAGTATCTGAAGGGGGCCTACAGGGAAGCCAGAGAGGGACCCCTTGTCTTGTGATAGGACAAGGAGTAATGGTATTAACTGAGAGGCAGTTTAGGTTAGATATGTGAGGTGGTAAAGCCAGGTTGCCCAGAGAAGCTGTGGATGCCCCAGCCCTGGAAGTGTTCAAGGCCAGGTTGGACAGGGCTTTGAGCAACCTGGTCTAGTGGAAGGTGTCCCTTCCCGTGGCAGGGATGGTGGAACTACGTGATCTTTAATGTCCCTTCCAATCTAAACCATTATATGATTCTAATAACTGTGTTGATAATCTCAGTGATGTAAAAAGAAGGAGAATGTTTGGAAGAGAAATCTCCAAATTTAGGTATTTCTCCAGTTCCATTTATCTGCATAGGGCACCTGTTACCTCTCTTTGAATCTGAGTGTGATGGTGCTTTGCTTCATTTCACTTTGCCTGAGTTTTTCTTGAAGTAACTGGTGTTTGTAGTTGAAATTCTAAGCATCAAAACCATTTATCATTTTAGAAATACTCATATATCTCTTCCCAATTTCCTAGTTTTATCCGAGGGTGTTGGTCTTTCAGATGGTGCTATTATTCAGGTGGTGTAATTATTTATTTGTTTCAACATCAAAAGGTCATTCGGGTCCTTTCAAAAGACTTTCACAAGCTTAGTCTTGGCTATACTGAGCAGCTGAGTTTTGTAGATGCTGTGGATGGCCTCCACAGCAGGAGGCTTGGCCTGGGAGCTGAGGAGCTGGGAAGAAACCAGTATCTGTATTCTTAGCCTCTGAGAGTGCCTGATGGTGGTAGCTCTTGTCAATGCTGGTAGGAGAGAGGTCTTCTATCATGATGGGAAGTTCTGAATCCTTGTAGATCAAATGACATTGTGTTAAGTCTGTATATCAATATGTGTGCAGTGCAGATTAGGGAGTAGTAGTGATTTGAAAGTTTCCATCATCTAGGCAGGCTGCTGAATTTTGTATTTTACTCTTCTGGCTAGACCTAAAGTTTGGCTCCATTCTAGTAATGCAGGCTTGCAAGGTCACATTTTATGATTATAATGTTATAATATCTACATGCAGAGAAATAAATGGCTGCAGTTCCTTACCAGGTGTAGGATGTAGAAAATAATCCCATATGCTACTACTGTACCTATACATCCAGCACAATCCTCTTTAATAAACCCAGAGTTTATTTGATCTGATGGCAAAATGAGAAAAAAAACCCTCTTTTTACGGTAGTAGGAAATAATGATTTAAATCAGGGAAAAGCCACAGCAAGTTACCATTGTAATGAGGGAGCTGGTGGTTCCAGAGCTCTTAACGCAATGGAAAACTAAATGGATATAGTTCTAGAAATGGAGTGATGTTTGATGCTATGCTTTTCTAGTGTTAAAAAAATATAGAAGGCTGAATAAAAAGTAAAATTGCATTTATTCATATTTTTATAGAGTTAAAAAATGGGCTTGTTGGTAGAAGTAGCTGGCTACCTCAGCTGCAGCATATATTGATGCCTCATCGATTCTAAGCATTTACCTTATTGCAAGCATTTGTGTAGGTTACTATGAATAAACATAAATACTGATCTGTACGTGTTGCCCTTCCACTGACACAGAGATATATTACCTTACTTTGGAAGTCTGTACACCCTTCTGCTTTGCATAGATGGCTAAAGGAGATGCAAGGCACCCGTCTTTGGAGAGGCAATTTAGAGGAGAGAAAAAGGTCTTTGTGCGATTTTAAAGCATAGTCTGGATGTCAGTAGGGCAGAATTTGGTCCCAGAAGTTTTATTCTCTGCATTATGAGGCATCATACATTCCTTTCTTAACAAAATAAAACCGAAAAGCCCTTTGTTTGTACTGTTAAACTTTTTTTGTAATAAGCAATAATAATTTTTTTGTTTCTTTAGCTTTACTTTTACTTTTTTTTTGTTTATCCTCTAGACCTCACTATATCTTCACCCTTTTATTTGTCCTTTTTTTAATAAGGGGATGCTCCCAAAGAAGTGTTGCTTGACTTTTTATGCTAATCTTGCTTCTATTTCAATTCATGTTGACTTGAGAATATGCCTTGTAAATAGGAATACCACCTGACATACTGAATATAATCCTCAGTTTCTAAGCATTGATTGTTTTCACAGCATCCTTAAAGGGTAAGCTGTCTTACTATCCAAATATCATGGCTGGGAAACTGAGGCTAACAAAGGCTGTATGATTTGTGTGAAGCCACAGTGGGAATAAATGTTGGGTTTAGAATTCCTGGCTTCTGTTCCTGTGTTTGGATTCATGTCATCTCTCAAAGAAATACTCGATTCCTCCAAATATTGCATACCTTTCCTTGTCTGCTTAAATGTAGCCATTCAGAAAGTAGCTGATGCTCAATTCTCTGTCCTGTTGAAACTAATGAATGCCTGCAGGCAGGCATAAGGTATCGTTACCTTTGGCAGCCAGTATGTTTTATGTTTTAAATTATGTGTTTCGCAGAATTTTTGGATACTAATTTGATATAATGAGATGCGCTTCTAATATCAACCCTAGTATGGGAAGGCCTTGCAGCCAGCCTACTCTTTATTTAAAATTATTCCATTTCAGATGTCCTAATGAGTGCTGTGAGTTGTGTAATTCTTTCATAATTTTCCCATGTTCCCAGAAGGGAACCAGTTTTTCTATTTTTGTTTTGGTTTATTTCAAATTAGGGTGAGCATAGGATAAAGATCTAGGGGAAGATTTTTGTGAAACAGTTGCTATTGTGAGAATGGCAGTTAAGGAAAAATATTATAGTCTACAAATGTTAGTGTTAAGGCAAGTCTCAATGCCTCTGCTGTTTACTGTTATCTTATAAATATCTTGACTCTGACTTTACAGTGCTGTTTATAGAATTTAATAAAGCAAATGTAATAATGCTGCCTGTGCTTTAATGCACAATCTCAATTGAGTTGACCAGAAGATAAATAGGAACAGGAATGATAGTGCGTTCCTACAGATTGTTTTTAATAAGCATGTTATTTAGTTGATCAGCCCGGTACTGTAATGCCTCCTATGCTGCTCTACCAGACAAATTTATTAATGCTCCCCCCCTCCCATTTCTCTGAGAACATTGATTCCCTGCAGACATATCTCTATTAAACCTCTAGAAAGTCACAACTTCCAAATTAGATTAAGTAGCAGGAATGGTACTAGAAGAATCAAAGAAAATTGAGTGCCTTATTGAATTCATGCCACATTGTCTGCGGAAGAGATGGGAGTTATGTGTAGTGGTAACTTTTGTCTTTACTGTACTAACAAAGCTGTGGGCATTGCTGTCAAACCTAATTGTATGCAGTGCATCAGGATAAAATGAATCTTTTATCTAAACTCGTACCTGCTGAGGTTTTACAAATGAGAAGCTGATTTTGGAAGGAAGCTTTACAATTGATCAGAATCATTTGCCATTATTTGCTGAACACAACCCTATCCTAAAAATTCTAGTGACAAAAATTTTAAAGAAGCACCTGGCTTTGGATTGGAAGCAGACTTGCTTGTCATGCTAGCAGTTGCCAAATGCAGATATTCATTTTAAGGCTGCCAATTTCTCATTTTGATCTGACATATTAAAAAGCATATAATTAATGGTTGACATTAGTAATTAACATTAACTTTATGGTGCTTAATATGCCATCATTCATCCATCAAATAACTGGAATGCATAATATCTTTGCATAAAGGTTTTAATTGCACAAAATGATCCTTCAGTTCCCAGGCTCTATGGTTTAAAGTAGTTGTAAATGCCTTTTAAAAAGATGTGAATTTTTCATTTATTGAACGTAAACATTGTTTTTGTTTCTTCCTAGGAGTGTGCACGAACGTGTAAGCCAGGGACTTCAGCTAGGGAACACAGTCCCAGACGCACAGCTTCCATTAGTGGCTAAAGAGCACCACCTTGCTGTCGCCAGTGCTCTCTGGAGAAATTTCTTTCCCTACTTGAAGAGCCAGAGAATGTCACAGATGCCGCCTTCCCCTCAGCTTGCTGATACAGCTGCAGGTTAGCACTGACCCCCCCTGCGACTTACTGGATTTGGTGCTATTTTCTGGGTCACAAACTTTTCAAGGATTTTGTATTTTGAGATATTTAACTATGAATATATGCAAAAAGTAGATTCTATGCTAAATATTTTGACACAAAGAAATATTATAGTGTTGAATTCCTTAATAGGATACAAACAGATTGAGAATACCAAATGGGTTTGAAACTATACAAGCCTGACTTCTTTTTCACTGCTAGTCACAGATTATAATCAACGTTGCAAATGTTATACAATATAAATAAGAATAATGTTTTTCACTATATTTACATACTTTTGTAAAAGTTTACTATAATTTTGTGTTGAACTATTCAGTATGGTTGAAATACAAACTAAATATTTAAAAATAATATTTTTTATTTGAAAATGACAATTTTTAAAAGGTTGCTTATATGACAGTTGTTTTTGGCCAAACCGTTACAGTCATAAAAATATTTCATAATAAATTTTAATTATTTATTATGCTTTAGACTGGAGGTGTTTAACCTTGAAGTAAACATTCCATATGTGTGTGAACTGCACATGCAACAAGTCAGCTTGGCAGTGAATAGAAAGATATCCCAGTTTGATCTTTAACATCTGTAGCTAGCATTGTATTCTGTAGTTACAGTGAAATCTTGTATCCATTTAACTAAAATTCAGAGGAGTGAAATAAAAAATATTTTTTCCCATCATGATATGAATTAGATAAAGTTACAAGCTCAGGGGTGCTGAGTTGGTAATGGAAAAGCTACAAGATGCTTCATTTGAAGTAGCTCTGTGGTAGTTAGGAGGTAACATTAATGAAGGAGGCAGTGTGCAACAGTAGTGGTCTCACACCGCTGAAGCATATGTGAGAAACAGCAATACAAATCAAAGGAAGGGGTTGTTGATGTCAAACTTCATTCATTTCCTACAGTGTCATATCTTTTTTTTTAATTATTATTTTATATTAGCGAAGTGAAATAGCACGAGCAGCAACCTATTATAAACTCCTCTGTGAAGCAGGGGAGTGCAGTTGTGACCTGCTTTATAGAGATGTGTTAGGTAGCGCTACAGAGGAAGGCAAACCTTTCCCATGCTGGATGAGCCTCTTGCCTTAGAGGTTGCAGCCCAGAGGAGAGAGCAGCTGTCACAGCTCTCCTGCTCCCCCTGCCAGGCAAATAGCCCGGGACTCACATTACTGTTTCTGTCTCCCATTTCTCCCCAAACTGTGTTATGGCTGATGCTGCAGAAATCTCTGGAAAAAGGCTGCCACAAAATGCTTCCTGACCTAAGGCAGCGTGGGGACTCTGTATGAGTTTGTTTTTTCCAAGGCACATAAGGAAGTGTGAACTCCTTCATGGCTTAAGGTAGTCTGCCCCTATATCATTAATAAAAATAATTTCATTGTTGTTTCTGAAAACTAGCCTTTTCAATCTGATTAATCTTTTCAATGCATGCAGGTTTATAATTATTTTAATATTAATGTATATCTAACTTGAATTGGAGAATTTGGGAACTAGTGAGCCCCTTTTCCATTGCCCTCTAAATTCAGTTTTCCTGACTTGTTTGATGCTTCTCATTTCCTATAGCCTAATAACCACTCAGCATTTCAGATTACGTTTTCTTTCTGCGTTTTAGTATACTTGTCATTTTCAATATAAAGAATGCACTGTATTTTTTATTCTGATAGTGTTAGATATAGATTGTACAGTAGACATAACAGAAACAGCAATCATTAACATGCTTCATTATGCTTCATTAACAAGATTATGCACAAAGTACTGCCCCAGTTTCTTGATCTGCAACTGTTACATGAAGATCCTTTCCAAGAGTAAACTTGTCTACAGGGCTTTATTTGTATGGTAAATTTTGATACGTGAAAGTCTATTCTAAAAATACAAAGGTACCAGCTTTTACTGAGAGAATTCTTTACAGATACAGTTCTTCACTCTGAGAAATGTGTAAAAACAACAAAACAAGTAAATAAAACTCAACCCTGTAAAGCACAGTAATGCTTACTTGTACAAGGGAAGATGTAGTGGATGAAGGTAAGAAAGGGAGGTCAAGACAAACAAGCAGGTTGTGCCTTCAGGATTTATAATATATGGGTTTGTGAATCTATTTAAAATTGCATATGTTTGGATCCATTGTCCCTCCTTTGCAGCCAGTGTGTCTTGATGACTTAAAAACTGCTTGGGATAGAGATATTTTTAACATGGGTGCACTCTCTGTTAAAACAGTTGCTCAGGCTGCACACTATTAATTGTAATTAATTTTCAGTGCTTTTTAGTGGAACAGGGATGTAGTGAGAAAATATTAAGACACTTTTTCTCTCTTCAAAAACAGGTTTTACTCTCTTAGCTTTGGATATACCCAGCAAAGCCCTATCAGACCTCCAGCCACAGCCTGTTCTATCAATGATGCAGCTGTTTGGATGGGACGACATGGTGTGGCCTCAACTGGTGGCAAGATATCTAAGTCATCTTATTCAAAACAGGTGAAAAATTGTGACTACTTGTTCTTCCAGTACCTTTTCATCCTTCATTAGACCTGTGGAAAATGTTGCTTCAAATGGTAATGTTTCAGTAAGGCGCTCCAGGTTCTTTCCAGCTTCTCAAGCACTAGGACAATCCAGTCAGATTTTTATATATATGAGAAATTTTATTTTCTCTAAGTAAACCCCTGTGGACCTAAGATAGATGGGTGGTGGTAGATTTTGTGGTGTGCCTTTTTCCATGCCTTGCCCGCTTCTGAATCAGGTTTTGGAAGCAGGGGAGGTGAGAAATGAGAGAGAAAGAGGGAATATTTCTGTGTCGGACTGTATTTGAAAGTGAAAAATATTGCACATTTTTAGGGTACATAGTGTACTAAGGAGCATAACTGTAAGTCAGGGTATGATAAAGATTATTTAAGTGTGATTGACAAAGATGAAACTGTGGCCTTCTTGCAGGGAGGTGTTAAAAAAAGTTGCATTTAGTTCCTTGTGTGTCAGTTTGGAACTTGGGAGAGGAGTGTTCAGTCCTCTAAATTGCCATATTTCTCTTCTATGATCTTTATAGGGTGAGTTTCATTCAGAGTTGCAGATACCTAGCACATGCTGAATGGAATAAGAGTTAGGCATATAAATTCCCTTTTATAATTTAATTTTATAATTTGAATCTTGTTATTCTTCAGGCGAGTTCATTTTGATACCTAAACTGAAAATTTGGAATTATTTAGGTTCTTAAGATTAATTTCCAGTTCCCCCAGTAAACATTCAAGTAAGTGATTGAAAACAATCACTTAAGTATTCCTTGGCAGTATTCATTAAGCACCTGACATATACAGATACATTTTTATGCTAGCTGAGGTAACGTTTATGGTATATGGAACCATGGCCAAAAATTCCTTTTTCCAAGTGTTTGGAAGCACAATTGCATTAGCAAGTGCAGAGTGTGCACACATATCAAGTTTCTAATACAGCTCTGCTGCCAAAATTTCTTCTCAAAATGCAATTATCTAGTATACACTATCTGAGAGGCTAGAGCACTTGTGCAGCAATCTGGAAAACCCATGTTGAGTGGGTCTTGCACTCTGATGGAATTCAAAGCTTTGTTTCCAAATACTGCCTTAGAAAGGAATGAGAGGGACTTAACCTCCTCTGGCAGATTGCCTTGTGAACTGACAGTGTCAGGTTCCTCCATCCATACTGAGAGAATTAGCAGGAGAAGGCATGGCTCCATAATTAGGTGATAATGGACATTTGTCTTTTGCCTATATGTGTGTATGCCCTCACTCTTTCTGGTTTTCTCTTAAGTGTTTTCACTCTCTGCTTTCCTGAATCTCCTTCCTGAATCTGGAAGCATGGGACAGAATGCATTCATGCAGAGGCAGATAATTTTACCCTTAAACTGTTGGGTTTTCCATTGCCCAGCCTCCAGGAGAATTGTTTCCCCTATCAATTTCCTCAAGCCAACTAGATAAAAACTTAAGTATCCGAGAATAGGCAAAGGTATGTCCCCATCTTACTAACAGAGCTGTAGGGTGCTCAGATTCCTGGTAAAAGAGCAATGAGTATCTAAGGTAAGACATTTTTGGTAGAATATAGAGGTATCATACTCTAAACACTGTCATCTTGAAAGCAGTTTTTTGTAGCATGATTCATATACCTTAGGCACTTGTAGAGCCAAAGTTATCAAAGTATCTAAGTGATGGGATCTTAAGACTTCATGGTTACTGCACTCTGATAATTTTCATATCAAACATTTTCCGTTAAAAAGTAAAAAGATTCTTTTGTTGCCAATACTGTTACATACCATGTAAGCTCTGGCAACATACACACAAGCTTTGGTATTTCTTTCACAGTAGTGCCTGAAAGTTTCTTACCACAACCACCTTGTGTAGTGCATGATAGTTTGTATCCTATTAAGGAAATGATGAAATAGTGTTTAAACTAACTTTGAGCATGTGAATAAGATCACTGTTTTAAAAGGACCACTTACCATGCTTCTAGCAGGTAGTTATTGTTCTTTCCTTTCTAAGGGTTAGGAGCATATTATTCTCCAGTTTTAGGAACATGCCAAAGTGGCCCACCTACCAGAAAGCAAGAAAAATAAGAGTGAGACTGTAACAGAAAGTGGTTTTGTGAGCCTTTGTGACCAGGTAGACTAGCTGTGTACATGAAGAGTACATGAGACTGAAATTGTTTACACATTACTGCAAAGAGCATTAAGTTCATAGGCATCCTTTTTTTTCTCTTTTGGTACTGGAATACAATGTTCATTTTTTCATTTTATTTCCTTGCATTTGGTCTCCTTACTTTGTCAGTAGTACTTCATCAGGGATCTTCAGACAAAATATACAGTTGTCTCTGGTTTTAAGTAAATGAAGCAAAAAAAAAAAAGACAACAACTTTATTAATGTTGTTTAGTGAGAAGCAGAATCCAGTTTGGTTTCCATCTGGAAGTGTTGACTTTCTGTTGCAGGCATGAGTGAAAATCAGTAGAAAATAAGTAAATTTACATGTACATATATCAAGAAAAGGGTACAAGCATTTTTCATTAAAATTGAAGTACCTATGAGTGACCAGGGAGGAAATGTCTCAAATAAAAGGTGTAACTACTTTCGAGAAATTTCACTGACCTGAAGCACACATGGAGCTCATCTGATAGGAACTGGTAACAGAATGCAGAACAGACTCACTGTCTTTTAGCAGGGAGTTTCTGAAGAATTAATGATGCGAGGCTGATATGCTTGGCAAAGAGTGACTGTAGCAGCTACTCATTGTAGTAAGGCAAGTAAAAGTTCATAATTATGGAACAGTAGAGTACAGGGATTGTGCACTGAGTGACTTTGGTCTGACACTTGAATGGTCAAACGGTAGCGAGTGTTTGATTGAAAGTATATACAGCAAGTTTGTGTGATATTTATACTTGTGTGTGTATACATGCATAAATGCATACGTCTGTAATGTACTACCAAGTATAGGGGTTTCCTTTCTCATCTCCAGGGTGCCTTGTTATAGTTCCCTTTTCATGTGTTTTGAACATAACATATCTTGATTTGCTAAAGCAGACCTTCTCCCTCTTTACTGTAGTTAGAACGAAGCAGACTTCAGAGTAGTGCGGGACACCTGGGCTGGCTTTCTATGAAAGGCTGGAGTAGCTTAAGTAGTGTCAGTATGGAGTTCCAGGCTGCTACAGATAAACTATTTCCAGCATTGTACACTATCAGTTTAGACAAATACACATTGTTAGAGTAAGGCATTTCCCATTGTGTGAATTTCCCTCCACTCTGTTTTATGTTGCCAAAACACATGTACATGTGTATATAGGTCTTTATATTACCACAGGTGGCTTTAGCAAATTTATCATGTGCTTTCTGTTTGGGCATCAGGATATTATGAGCAAAGTCTGTAGAGTATGGAAAAGCAATGCCAGTTGACCTTTCTGTTACTTTAATTGTTTCTGTGCACTCTTTCTGTATGTCTACAGCCAAATGAGACACTCTGCTACCCTTTTTGCCTGTTTTTATTAGATCACCCTACCTTTTTCTTCCTCTTCTACCTATGCAGTTCACTGCGTGAAGCTTTTTCTAGTATGGGATATACATCCTATGAAGCTCTGACAGTACGTTCTTGGTTTCGATGCGTTTTGCAAATGTTCATAGATCAACCAAGTGGTGTTCTGGCCAAGACAGATGCTGAGCGAACAGTTGGTAAGTGTTCACATTTCCCTAATGTTTGCAGTAACGATTCTATATTGCAAAGCTGGCAAACATTTTCAGCTAATTACAAAATGTATTTTTGTTTGTATTCCTTTACTTTTACCTAATTACAAAATGTGTTTCTTTACACTGCTTGTGCTATTTTTTGATAGTTTGCCTGCTCTGCATATGACAAATTTATCACAAACAAAGATAAAAGAGCTTGTTTCCTTGGAAGCAAAGAATAAAAACTTGCTCCCAAGGAGACAAGCTATTTTCCCCCATGGAGAAACTGCTCTAAAAAAAGTGAATCTGAAGTAAATAGTTAGAAATCATGCTGTGAATGGCCTAAAAGAAAAGAAAAGGAAAAAAAAAATCTAGTTGTAATTAATTCTGTGTTGGATATTTTGCTTTCTTAGAGAAATACTTCATCAGTTCTTCTAAAAACATTGCAGTTCTAATTATCTTTAAAACACATCTTCTAGTGACTATTTTTCATACACATTTTGTAGATTTTGAAAAAAACCCCAAACATCAGTACTATGAAAGACTTGGTTATCCATACTTAATACTCTTCACTGTCTTATAACTGTAATATGGTCTTTGTCTGGAGAGATACAGTTGGTTGCAGAATCCTTGTGTTTTAGACATTTTAAAATAATGTTTCACTTTATCATTTTGGGATTAAAGTAAATCTAAAAGCATAACTGTACACTGTATTTACTGCTGTGCTCTCTTGTAAATAATCAGGGAAAGCCTATATGGAGCAGCTGACTGAAATGACAAGACTGATTTTTAAACTCTCAGAAGTAGAAAACATTCTTTCAAAGGCTCATGTTGAAGAATCAGTTTTCAAGCAAGACCCAAAATATGCTCTGGTCCAGTTCATTAAGGTACTGTACACCTATCCCTTTGTTACTTTCATAGGACAATTTTAGTGAAAAGGAACTATATATCTGACTGGAGGGTGGAAAAAGAAATTACTCACAAAAATCTCATGAGATACTTAGTAAGTTCATTTATATTTCTTTCAATGTTTTTGTTTTTTTCTCAGGCTGTTGGTAGAACTTACAGTGGCCTTCAGACACTCCCTGAGAAATCTGCCATGGTAGCAAAGACTCAGGAGTATTTAGGTGATGTATTAAAGTATGTAAAACCTTATCTGAAAGCAAAAGGACCTCCAGAAGGTCTGCAGCTCACATATTGGATCATAGGTAAATATTTTGCAACCTGTTGGTTTTTTTTAGGAAATGATTTTAAGGCATCAATAAAATAAATTTTTAATACTTTTTTCCCCTATACTATCCATATTTATATATTTCCTCTATAATATTTAATGGTTTAAAAAAGAAACTCACCAAGATGTTACAGTTAGATATTTAATTTTTTTGTTTGTTTGTTTGTAGGACTCTTTATTATCCCTGCAAATCAGTATTTTCAAGAGTAAGATCTTTTCGTGTCTTTCACTACTGAAGGTTAAATTTTAACCCAAACAAACTCAGAAACAGTGACAGGAGTCAGTTTTAGCTGTAGTGAGAATTGTTATAAGTCGTAGCAGTTCCTGACGTTACAGCAATTTATGCCCACAGTGGATCTGTTCCTCCCATAGAGGGTCGTGAGACTTTTTCATATGAGGTCTTTTGTTGTCTCCTTCCTCTTCGCACTCATATTTTAAATGAAAGTGATGAGCTCTGAATTTTTCCTGTAGAGCATAAAAGTGGATGTACACCCTTCTTAAAGAATTCCAAGTTTTGAACCATGTGGATTGAGGCAACATGCACTTGGTGTTAGGTATCCAAGCTATGGGGTATAGCCTGGCTCACCAGTGAAATCACTCGCCAGAGAACCACTTATTTAAATGAATTTTTCAATGTTTGTGTAGTGTAAAGGTAGAAGTAGAAGTAGAAGTGAAGGTAAAGAGTCACAGAATTCAGCAAACTGTAGCTAGATTTGTTTAGGGTCAGTGTGGAGGGGTAAGGTAGAGTTTAAAACTCTTTTTTTCAGGGAGTTTAAGTTAGATATTAGGAAAAGATCCTTCACCCAATCACTGCAGGTGTTTGGGCACTGGTACAGGCTCCCCAGGGAGCACCAAGCCTGCCAAAGTTCAAGGAGCAATTGGACAATGCTCTTAGGTACATGACGTGATTCTTGGGGTGGTCCTGTGCAGGATGAGGAGTTGGACTTTGAGGATCCTTGCTAGTCCCTTCCAACTCAGGATATTCTATGATAAGCAGTATTATGACAGGCTGCATCATTACTGAAGTTATGTTAGTGGCCAAGTTGGTTTAGGAATGTAATTTGCTTTCTTTTGGAACTGCTTCTCTTACATACACTCTGTACTTTACTAAGACTCAGTTCTAGCATTTGTTCATTAAGCATGGAACGACTGATAGAATAGAAAAAGAAGAGTGCTGTGTATTATCAGTTTATTGTGCCAGTCTGACCCACTTACCTTTAAAAATAGAATAAACCTTGTGTATCTCAAAGACAGACATAATAATCTGCATGCACATGCAGTTCAAATCGTGATTATAAGGAGCACAGCGAAAGCTTGACCGAGATCAAAAGGTGCATCAAATGCAGTGGAATTAGGGTTTTGTAAAATACTTTACTTTTCTATTGCAAGATTGGCATATTCTGATACACAAGACGTATATCAAATTAAATGTTTTCAGATACCCAGATGTGGATTGGAGCCTTGGAAAGTAAATTTAGATTGGTATTTTCCTTTTTAGATTGGTATTGTCTTCTCTGTTCTTTGCAGTAGGAAGCGATTAATCTTCAGTCATGCTGTTGTGGGCAAGAAATTGTCCTTTTCTTTTTAGTTAAGAAAACATAGAAAAGGTTTAAAAGAAAAAATATTTAAGTGTATTTCAATCACTGCTTCACATTCTGTGGGCTTGTTAAATTATAAGGACAAAGCAAGAAACTTAACAAATCTAAACACCTCCCGTCTGTGGTCAGATTGTGTCTTGTACTGTCCCATACATCACAGGAGCGATAATAGAAGGAGTACTTTAGCTGGAATGACCATGTTTCTTTCAAAGCAGGAAGCTTAGACAACATTATTAGAAGTATTGTTAGGTGATCGTTCTCTTTCTCTATGATTGATCATTGTGTTTTCTTTCACTCCACAAGATTAA